ATTCTCGTGAATTTTCAACATCCACAATCTTCTTCTTTGCATTCTCCACTTATTTTCTTCGTTTTTGTTTATATAACATATATCCAAAAGCAGCAGTCAGTCCCACGGCAATTCTTAGGTCCATGATGTTTGCTTGCACAGCGCACACTATCCATGGTTGACGAGCTTCGGTCAGTTGGTTAATTTGCCCCAAGTTTTACCAAACATTTTGCCAATATCCGTTTGCCTGTAGTGTGGGCCCAGCATTAGATTGGTGACAGATGACAGTGAACCTGGCAGACAGCAGGTACAGCACGGTGGTGGGGATGTGCAAGTCTATATTTCTTACGGTAGATAAGGAGCCAGATCTTGGCAAGCAGCTTCCTTTTTTTTTGTATATATATGGTTCATTTAGCACTATAACTATTGATCTCGAGACAGAATATTATTTGTCGAAATAAATAAAATGTCTCTAATGTTTATCTATTGTTTAAGGTCTTTTTATATTTCTAAAATATTTATCGATTCATAATGTTTGCTACTTTACTCTCAACATGTTCTTCACGCATAAATAGTGTTTCTATAATATTGCTGTTTATACCAAATAAATAAATTAAGACAAAAACTAGAATTTCACATTTATCACTCGTTTATATTCCCCGAATTTTACTTTATTAAATAGAAATAAAAACCAACATTAATTAAAACATGATTTAAATATATTCCTTGATATAGAATCATTGTAAAGGTTGAGTGAGGTAGCGTTTTAGGATTTAAGATATATTATACTTATTTTGGTATAATAAGTTACAGATACACTATAATGGATTTATCACTATAAATAATTAGAAAGATATTAACTAAGTTTACTGGAACTTAGTCGTAGTATTTATATTATTACCTTAAAGTAAATGATAATTTTTCTTTAGGTTTAATTGTATTCTGTACTGCATTGGTATTAGTTCCAGCTATATCATTTTCTATCATATTTAAAACACAATTAAATTGACGTTTATTTAATCTAAAAAAAAATCGAAATTTTTCTTCATCTGCCATCATTTAGGTAGTGTTATAAATCCCTTCTCTCTTTCTTTTTCGTAATATATTGCTGATATTCCTTCTCCATATGAACGACATTTCTTCTTCTAGTAAAATAGCTGTAGTCAGAGATAGGAAGTCCATTTTTTTATCTTCAAAGATTTAACGAAATGTTCGAAGATAATAGGCAGGTTATAACAACCACGGTGAGCAATTTCAGCGAAATAGCTACAGCGGTTGGCTGCGTGGAACTTTGGTTGCTAGCGCCAGCGAAATAGTACATTAAGGAAGGTGGTCCGAGGGTGTGTATTGTAGGTGACCGTAGTCTGTTGGAGTGAATGTAGTGTGCTGTATAGAGTGTACTGTTTAAAATGTAGTATATGATTTCCTATTACCAGGAGGACCAGTGGCAGATTTCTGGGTGATACGGTTGCCACTTCCCTACGGCGCAGATGTTTCACCTATCTGCATAATTTCGCGGTTCTATAAATCACATGCATTATGTCTGCAGTTGTCAATTTTTTAAAATAAATGGCATTGGATAAAGCCATATAGCCAGTTAAAAATTTATGATGATATTTTAAGGTCATTTACGGCTAAACGTGTTTCTTAAAACGGTTTACTACACTGCTTATCTACTCTCCTCTGCTGAATGACAGTGTTTGTTTTTATGTGATGTTGCTATTTTCTAGGGATTGGAAAATATTTCATCTGTGAACTTAATACTCGCATCCCATAAAAATATGGTATAGTGTTTCAGAATTCATGCAATTTTCACATTGGACCGAATTCGAACTCATTTACGGTGTAAACAGCTATTGCACAGTCCGTGATTTTGACTTAATCCAAAATATATTTTAATTTCTTCTTTACTCAGATTTATTGTTGAAAACCATGCCCTGTGGGTTATGTTTGGGAATGTTCATTTTTTATACTGGCATATTGGAGAATGCCTTCTTTTATAGTCATATGAAAGTCAGTATACGGGACCAAACTGTTCGCTGTATCGCCTGTGTATATCGATAGCCTCTTTCGCTAAATTATCGACCTTTTCATATTCTGGAATCCCTATGTGTGGTTTAACCTACATGAATACAAAGTTTTTTAGAGATATTTTATGTCTAATAAGATATTATTACTGTTTACGTATTTATAATTATTTATTGTTAGTTTTTTTTTAAAGGACTTTTCCACTACTGTGGTTGTCCTTGCCCTAAATATTCTTTAAGATATTTTTCCATTCTTCTCTACGGAAGGCTTGTTCTTCTATGATTTCATGACCCGCCATGCTTTCTTCTGTCGTGTCTTTCCATTTTACACTTCGTCTTCCCCTTTTCCTTCTCCCTTCTACTTCCAGCTCTATACACATCTTCGGCAATCTTTCAGGTGTCATTCTTTTCACATGTCCAAACCAGCATAACCTTTTCTTTTCAACATTTAATAAAATGTTTTTGTTTTTGTTACCTACATCATTTCCAGAATTCTTTCCCTTCTGGATTTTCTTGCTGCTCTTCTCTAAAAGTACATCTCTGCTGCTAACAATCTGTTTCGGTGCCTTGCATTGATGACCCAAGTCTCCAAAGTATATGTCGTAATTGGCTGGAATATAGCCATGTATATTAGCCTCTTTGTACTGGGCTCTACATTCGAGTTCCAAAGGATACTGTTGAGTAGTGCTGTGACCTTTCTTCCTTCACCAATTCTTCTGTCAATATCATTGGATGATATACCTTCTCTATTAAATATTTAATAGAAAAGGTATTGCTGTGCACGTATATTGCACCGCTTGTTGCATTGTTTATTTTAGACCCGTCTGTTTAGATACAAATGTGATTTGGCCAATTGTATGAATGAATAGCTGTTTAATTTATTATGTCAATTCCTTCTATTTCTATCCGAAATATCATCATAATAGATTTTCCATTATTTTCTGATTTTTAGTTAATTGCTATGGACTGTACAACTATAACTGTTGATTGTTTTTGCAATTGTGCAGTTGATTGAATTAGACTTCGTACAGACTCAAGTGAATTTCATATTTTTGCGGAAGTTTAAATATGGAGTAGGTGGTGGAACAGTAGTTGCTTGAAGAATTTGTGGACGAGGATTGGCGTATATAGTTAAGTAGAGAGTTCCAAAAAGATGTGGGATGAATGACGAAGGATTTGCTGAAGGAAGTAGTTTTATAGAAGGGGATATATAAATCTATAGGTTGAGACCTGGTATTGGGAGAGTGGATAGAGGAATGTAAGGTAAGGAGTGCCAAGATGTAGGGAGGGATTTCGGTTCTGAGGACTTGAAAAAAGAAAACGCCAAATTGTCGTCGGAAAGTAGGATAAAGGCACTTCAACCCGGTGTACCTGAATGAAAGATGGGAGCGCTTGGGGATCCAATATATGTATCTTATGAAACAGTTCTTGAGCTTCTTTAATCTTATTTCTAGCCTGGCAGATAGCCCTCCATACACCAAGCAGCCATAGTCGAAGTGGGGGATTATAAGGAAGGTTACAAGGAGCTGGTCAAAGGTAACTCCTAGGTTTTTGACTGTTGGAAAAAAATATGTATTGTAATGCAGCAGTTTTATTGCCAAACTTATTATCATATGGGTTAATGAGTTAGTTGGTAAATTTTGATGTGAATTTAATTAACGATTGCTGTTGTGGTTGATTAGGTGAGTTGGTAAATAAAATGAACCAATGTTACTTGCGGAGCTGTTTCAAAACTTTTCCTAATAAGCGTCACCTTGATTATTATTTAATTCTAGTTTATTAAACTCTCTCTCCGGGAGCGAGACTTGTCCCTCACCACCGAGACAGGCTCCCAACGACATGGTCCATAACTAAGTTCAACAGCAACGGACAAAGTGGGTCACCCTGTCATACTCCCCGCCTTGTTCTGATCTCCCCAGAAACAACTCCACTAAAGAATATGTGGTAAGCACCATTACCATAGACATACTGGATGTACTCGCACAACTGAACAGGAAACCCGAGCTACCGAAGAACCCGGAGAATGACTGTATGGCTGACAGAGTCAAGCCTTCCTCACCTCCAACACCGCCATGCAAAGACTCCTACTCTTCCTCCTTGCACAGCGCAGGACGAAGTACAGCATAAAAACGTTAGCAGCGACGCCGTCATAAACCCTTTTAAAAACTTTCTGCTCGGGGACATGCTCAACTATTCGTTCGAACCTACCGGCCAGAATCTGATGCAGGTGCCGAACTATCACAGAAGACACAGAAATTGGCCGGATGCCACAGGGTTACTAGGATCGACAACCTTCGGTATCATACTTCTCGTCACCAGATGACACAGAGGGCACAACAGGAGGAGGAATCTCGCTAACAGAAGACCGCAATTCCTGTAATAGTTCCATATAATTTTCCCTCTTTCTTATCCCCTTAATGGCACCCGCAGACCTCCCGGGACAACCTGGCTAAGTCGCGCATTTACATTACCCGCCAATTCTGCAGCCTGCACCCTCAGCTACTCAGCCCCTAGTATAGCCAATTCATCGGGATCCCACCTACGTTTAGAAGAGGGAACTCCAACCAGTTCATTCCGTTCAAAATGGTAAGCTCGCTTGATATGCTGTCCCTGCCCGCGGCCTGAGGAAAACGCACGTTCGCAGAGCCGACAATCAAAGCCGAGACATGATAGTCCATCCTATCGACCGCCGTCCTAAACATACTCTGATAGGACAGACAGTTGGCCAAATCATTGATAGAATGATCGTGGGCTCTTCCCGCAAATCGACACGGGGGGCACCTGCGTGGTCCACCCGAATTCGGACAGTACACCCTATTGTGACCCTCCCCCGCACAGTGCAGGCAGACCTCACTACACCTACAGTTCTTCTGGACGTGGCCATATTCCTGGCAACGCCAGCATCTGGTCACCCCCACAAAGTCCTTAACACGGCAGGAACTCGACTCAACGAAGATCCTGCCCTTCGCTAACAATAAGTTTCTAACCGCCGGCTCAACCTCCAACACAAGTCAAGGAATCCCTCTTCCCAAACTCGTTTGCTGCCACAGCCTGAAAATTCTGCGCCTTGACTAATTGTAGGACCTGCTGTTCAGAAACTTCCTTGGGCACTTCAAATAGCATGACTCTCGGCCTTCTCTTACCAACTCTATTAACCACCAAACCGGCACCGGCCAGAATTCCCGAATCGACCACCCGCTTGCCCGCGTCACCAGAGCCCAAGCTTACCCTCACTACCTTGCTTCTGGCCCTAAAACTAACTACTTGCCTGCCCAATTCTGCTTGCCTGACGGTCTCCATCAACATATTCTTTACCAGCTCGGCCGTGCCCAATCCCTCAGCCCCAGAAACAGGCCCAACCTCCACTACCGTAACATCCTTAGGGGAACTGGCAAGAGTTTCCGAGTACGTCTTACGTGACGGCGCCCTCGGGTCAAGGGGACATGGGACACAACACCAACAGAAGGTGCCGTAGACAACTTCGCGACCTCTACCCTAAGAGCCACAACTTCCTTCTTAACCTCATCCATCGTGAAAATGACGGGACCGCTCCCAGCGCAGTCTCCAATTCAGCATTCTTGCGATGCAGCTTCACGTTTACAGATGCACAGCATTACAGAGCATAACATGCTCATGCACAGGTACGGAAACTTTTCGACGTGAACAAGCAACTCGGTGCTCAAACGGTCGCTTTTGGAGATACTTTCAACAATCCTTTCCCTAATGGCCACCATGTCCTCCGAAGAAATAGTCCGGACAGTCTGCGGCTCCCTGATAGGTGGAAAACCTTAATGACTCTTCAACCGGGGACAATGTCTCTCCAACACTATCGCTCTCAGATACGGATCTAACACGGGATCTTTTTTCTCAGTTCATGGTCCTGAACCTAATTGATGATTCGGCGCACAATCGATTAACTGGTAATGGGTCGCCATGATGATATGCTGCTTGCATTTTTTTTACCCTTGTAATGCAAGATTGTACGCCCCTGACGTAGATGCTCTGCTACATACGCAACCCTCGGCATGATCTCCGCAATAGTCTTTATGATATATAATACATTTAGAAGAATGTGCGGACGTGCGGACCAAAGCTCCGTCCGGGCCCGGCGATAGGTCCACTGACGTGGATTTAATTGGTTTTTTTACCACTTGGACATCGATAGATGTTAAATTTGGCGTAGGTGCGCTATTTTCGTAATCCTCTGGGATTTGTTTTCTCAAAGAGGCTTCTGAAGTGGCCTTCAATCTCTGCTATCTTCAGAGGGCATTGCTTAGGAGCGTCGTTGTTCAGAATGTTCTGTACCACTTTTTTCCTTCTATTTTAATAATTAAACTACTTCATATTGAAATTGCTCTTGCCGACGACTATCTATCTCGTTGGCCCTCTGTGGATTCGACCGACACTTTTTCCGCACCCTTGCCAGATTTTTTGGTTTTATTTTTTCTTCTTACCTTATTTCTTCTTAGGTCAGGCAATTCTTCGTTTATACTATTTAAAATTTTTAGAAAATTGCCTACTGCTTTGTCGATTTCCACATTGTCCAAATTATTTCGCCGAACGAATTTCCTTACGGTAGCCGACCATTTGGTTATTAATTTCTTTTTACTTCCTCTTCCTCTTCGCCTCGATTTATTTTTCACTTACTTTATTACTGATTAAGCCCCTGATTCTAGCGTCATTAGCCTCCTTAGGATGCTTCTTAGCTATATGGATTCTAAAGACCTCTATTACCCGTGAAACTCAGCCCGCAAATGGGGCATACTATTTTGTTGACCTCTTAGGAAGTATTTTCTTTCCTATCTTTTATTTCGCCAATAGGCTCTCCGGATATCTTCGCTGGTTTAGGCAAACTTGGAAATAAATCATAAATTGATATTGTTTTGTCCTATGCTTGGCCATCTTGTTCCTGCCACTCCACCTTTTTTATCGAATGCCACGAATTTGTTATCGGCGCCTCCTGCGACTGCCACAGACATCATGGAGGCCACTAGTGTTTCTTGGACTGACCCACTTAATCTCAGAACCCATACCCTCTGGACCTCTGTAGATTTCTTTAGAATTATTTGGATTTTCGTCCATATTTTTTTATCCTTACATTAAAGTTATAACCTATATTATAATATTTAAGAAAGTAAACAGTTTGCTTATAAGTTAAAAACAAAAATGAATTAATTAAAAATATGCAAATTGATGAAATAATATTAATGATACAATTAAATCAATATATTAAAAATATATACAAAAATTAAATGTCAGTAAGTTAAAATTAATTGAATAGATCAAAAGTTATACTAAAAATTAAAAATAATGTTAATGTGTTAAAAGAAAATAAATAGATTGAAGATATATACACAAATGAAATAATGTCAATAATTTAAATTAAAAATATTTAAATATACATATATATGGGTGTATTAAATAATGTAAAGCGGTTAAAATTACATAAATAGATTTTAAACACATTCATAGGCTAAATAATAAATACTGTGATATAAATACTATATATGCGTGTATATTTAAACAAATGCATATACATAGCCGCAAAGGAAGACGCAAAAAAAAAAATTACGATCCTAAAACAATTTCTAGAATACATTAAACAGAGATGGGAAAATGCTACTCTGAGTACCGAGCACCAAGTGTTTTTCTCAAATTGTTTCACTGTTAGAAATTCAATTACTACTTCAGTTAATCGTTTGACATCAACTGAAATAGTAATTAAATTCTTTGTTACGCAAAAAAGGTCAGTATTTGAGTAAAACATTTGCCCATCTGTGATATAAATACATTCACCTGAATATCCTTATTATGATTTTTGGTATTTTCAGCCAAGAAAAGAAGTAATGCTCATTCGATGACGGGCATCAGGTTGACGTAGTTTTTTTTTCATAATTTAAGGCTTCAACCACTTGGGTCATTATTTCCTTATTTTCACCGAGACTTAGATTGTATTTTAAAGTTTAGAACGTTTCAGAAAAGAAAATAGTTTATCAATTTCATTCTTATTGTCCTGTAAAATGAAGTGTTGATAGTTTGTCAAGTCACAAGAGAGTTTAATCGTTTCGTAAGCTTTGCATTCTGTCAAAATGTGTTTCACTGCCAGAAGAGTCCCACAAGTGTTGCATGTTGGCGAAGAATCACGGACCATCAGGTATCCATGGGTAAGGCGTGTATGACCTATACGCAGGCGCGTAAGAATTACTTCCTCCAACCGGTTATTCCTATTTGACGATGCCCAAGAGGAAAGTTGACATTATATTATTTATACAATTTACAACCACTATATTTACAAAATCTAATAGATTATATGCATAAAATAAAATTTAATAATTATAATGTTAATAGAAAATTAATCTTTATATCTCAAAATTTTTAATAATATACAAAATAGAAATTTTATTAATCAACAAATAAATTAGGTTCATATATACAACATAAAATTCTCAACATAATATATTTACAGTATGTAAACTATAAATTAATTAACAAAACATACTAAACAAACAAATTAATTAACAAAACATACTAAACAAACAAATTAATTAATACAAAAAATACTATTGCTTACACAATATTATGAATAATGTAATATAACACTACAAAAAGAAAAGTTGAATAATAACTAATTATTATTATTCATCTTCTTCAAACGCATGCGCAAAATGCTTTATTAATGATATCTAGTTTTTTATTCACAATCTCTATAGTATATTGTATGGCCCAGCTTGTTGCTAGGAAATCATTATTTTTTGTGAATTTCCACCAGACCAAGGGAACTGGCTGCAATTTTGTTGAAACTGGTGTAGGTGGTTGTGGTTTCAACATTGGAAGTATTTTTATTCGACAAACACCGCATATATTGAGCACAAATATCATCTATTTGGCAAATAAAGAGAGCCTGTTCTTGTTGAGGTACTTGGACTAACTTTCTCCTATCACGGATCCATAATTTTGTGCATAACTTTTATTACACTTATTCGAATTTCCGCTTTTGATTTTTTAATGCGTCGACTAGTTAATTGAACGAGGCAGTCATATCCTCTATGCCATTGTTTGTTGTTTTTTTATGTCTTGGGCTTCTGCTATACATTCTGCTTGTATGTATTTTACTGTATATTGATATATATAGATTTATATCACCACCTATTAGGAGTAGGAGGTCCTCTTTTCCACATATTGATAAATAGGGTCTAAATCATGAGGTATATAAATAGATCCAATTATCATTTTAATCTTTCTAATGCCTACCTTAATAGTTAGGTTCAAGGCCACAGCATCTCTTGAGTTTACCTGAGGTAGTGGCAATATGTGCAAATCCTTGGAGGCCCATATGCATACCCAAGGTTTGTCTTCAAATAGGGCAAATAGGGGTGGTCGGATGATATTTCCTCCTGTTCCCCTTAAGCCTTTAATCATTCCCCTTAAACAATAAGGTTCTTGTATTAGAACGAGGGTTGATTTAACCCCCGTGAGAAGCTTAGCTAATTCGGCCGTAGCCAATTTATTATGCTGCATATTAATTTGTCTTACCTTAATCACATTGGATTCCATTGTTGTTAAGGGGAAGTACTAAGTGCAGGAGCCTAATGGCGCCTGCTCCTCCTAGTGTCATCCTGTGAGGGGTAGACAGGTTATGAGGCAGTTGGTGGCGCCCTCCAAACTGTTAAGCTGACTAGCTCGTAGTTTATGTGCCACTCATGAGCCTCAAACCACGCCATTGAGATGCTGGGCACCTTAAACACCGCTCACAGGTGTCCTGGGTCGTCCTCAGTTCCTAAATACTGCCATCTCGATATACCAACCAGGTCCTCATTCTGGTAGTCCAGAATTCTTAAGAGCCTGGTGGGATCGATCGCTTCAGCTCCTTACCCAATAACAATTCTACCGGGCTAGGGAGCCTCGGCGGACCGCCTCACCACAAACCTTCGGTCATTAGGAGGGACCCAGTCCAGTAGCCAATCCCTAGTCTCCTCATTTGTGGAGGTGAGGAGGAACCAACCCGGTTCCGCCTGATATCCTGAGTTTTTGAAGGCTAATGGTCTCCTTCTGGGATGTAGCTGATTGCACCTAAGGTCGATTTGGGCAATGGGGAGCCAGCGTATGAGTTGTGCCTCATCCTGTGTGATAGGCTCACCCTCCTGGCTCCCCATTATAACATCTCCAATGCCCTCCCAGCCGCAGCGTCCCTGTAGGATCGGGTATTCCCCTGATCCAATTGAGTGCCTTGCTGTGAGGGACCTTCTAGGCGATTGCTTCGGCCTTTTTTTGTCTTGTCGGCGGACATCCACGGGTGGGAACTCCTCAACCGGCCTCTGTCTCTTTGTATATTTAATGGCAATTTCCGCTTTGATTTTTTAATGCGTCGACTAGTTAATTGAATGAGGCAGTCATATCCTCTTTGCCTTTGCTTGTTGTTTTTTTATGTCTTGGGCTTCTGCTATACATTCTGCTTGTATGTATTTTACTGTATGTATTTTTTATTTATGTATATTGAGTTGTATGTATTTTTATGTATATTGACCAACCTTTGAGGAGGACGCTCGCTCCTGTCTAGCCCGAGAAGGGGTGCTAGAAAGACAAGCCTCCTCTCTCCCCCCCTTCCGTATTGGCTCTGGGGAAGTTCTTCTCTTGTCTAACTAAAGGGGAACGACCCGTGGTACTCCCTGATGAATGAGGCTGCCTATGGGTAGCCGGATCAGAGATAGGCGTCTGACGCCCCTTCCTAATCGCCACCCGTTCAGCTTACCTTTTAATTGCTTCCGCTCGCCTTTTCTTTTTGCGATAAAGCTTCTTTGATTTGCCCTTTTTGATCTTCTCGGCCTCTTCCTTTAAAATACTTCCAGGGGAGGACTGACTTTGCGTCCCTCCCTGATCTGTCTCGGTCGAAGTAGTTGACCTAAGTAGAGTAAACTCTCTATCAGAGTCCGCCCTTTGGCTTAATGGACTAGATGGGAGCTGGTATGGCCGTACCACCCTGTCATGTCTGGGTTTAACCTCCTTTCAGCTCCCTCCTTTCGTCTCTAGTGTGTCTTGTTCAGTCTTGGATGACTGCTCCGTCTCTACATCTATTGCAGCTGGCACTTCCGGCTGCTCTTCATCTGTTTTTTCACTCTGGTTGTTTGATTTTATTATTGTGCCTTGTGTTAAATGTATGATGTAAGTGTAGGTATACTGCCGTCCCAGCCCCAGTCCCTCTTCTGGAAGAACGTGTCACCTGAGAGTAGAGTCCAGTGGCCTCGGAGGAGCAACTCCGGTCCGTGCATCAGGGTCCAATCCAGTCACCAACTGGCACTAATACATCGTCCGAAATTTTACACTGGGCTGATGGAGCAGCCACTCCTTCCTGGTTAGGAGGTGCGGACTCCTGTACTATCCCAGCGGCCGAGGTGTGCTATCTCTCGTTTCCATCTGTACCCTCTGAAACATCTCGCCCTGGCTGGCTCAATCATTCAGGCAGAAAAGGAGTATAGGGCGACAGGAGTGACCTTTGTCAGTTATGTTCTGTTATTGGGTGCGGTGATGAGCAGTGCTCCTCTAGTTGCGAACCTGGACAGGCGCGCACCTCGGCTGGCACTGGGTTCAGGTGAGGAAGAAATCCCCTTCAGCAGCCTGACCTCCTTCCCTTCCAGGGCGGCTTCATAGGAATAGTGACCCTATGGTGTGTATTGTAGATGTTCTTTGTGTTTGTGTGCTGTGTGGGTGTCAGTGTAATTCTTCCCCCATCTTGGAGGGCCAGTGGCTGATTGCGGCTGCGTGACCGGGCGATAGGGCCGCCAACTTCCTACGCCTACCCTAACTGATATCAATAAGGAAAACTAAGGTCAATTTGTATGTACCTTGTACGATTCTCGTGAATTTTCAACATCCACCATCTTCTTCTTTGCTTTATCCGCTTATTTTCTTCGTTTTTGTTTATATAACATATATCCAAAAGCAGCAATCAGTCCCACGGCAATTCTTAGGTCCATGATGTTTCCTTGTACAGCGCACACTATCCATGGTTGACGAGCTTCGGTCAGTTGGTTAATTTGCCCCAAGTTTTGTCAAAAATTTTGCCAATACCCGTTTGTCTGTAGTGTGGGACCAGCATTAGATTGGTGACAGATGACAGTGACCCTGGCAGACAGCAGGTAAAGCAGGGTGGTGGGGATGTGCAAGTCTATATTCCTTTCGGTAAATAAGGAGCCAGATTTGGCAATGAGCAGCTTCCTTTGCCTTCGATTTATTCCGACGATACTCGTTTTATTTTCTTCAAATTTTGCACGCCACTCACAATACGCTCTCGCTACATTCGTGACTATTTTACATTAAACACTACATCAAATGAGCGTTTAATATGGACCCGATGTTGCTCCGTCACAGACTCAGGCATAACTCGGACGTTTAATGTATTCATTAAAATAATTTAAGCAATCGGCAGGTTTTTTTTATTTTTTTTTATTTTAAGCGTAAATCTTATTACTAGAAGCTTTTATTTTGTCACTGACAAATATAGATAAATTCCTATAATAGAGATCTGGGTTAAAATACAGTTTATAACCAATTTATCCGAAAAATATTTGAATAATCAATATTTTGCAAATGAATTTCTTTATTAATAGAATGTGTGTTTGGACAATTGAGCTTATTAAAAACATCCCAGATTATGGAAAAACAAAAAAAATGCTTGGCAACAATTAATTATAGTCAGTTTTGCTGAAAACATGGCTACTTTTACTTGACAGTAAAGATTTTTTTACAAAAGTTGAGCTCAATCACAATTTTTTTAGTTTTAAACCTCAACTTAATTAATAACAACTTAAAGATTATTAAACGAAAAAGTTTTTGTAAAAGTGGGGTATCTGTAGTACAGTTCGATAATAAAAAAAAAAATCGCGAATAATTTATGATTTTTCTTAAAAAAAAAAACTTGGCTTTAGCTGCTCAAAAGCCCTCTGTAAAAGTTTTAACAATAATAAACTGTTCGTTCATTTGTTGTAAATTTGATCTTGTTTACAATGAAGTAATTATTAATTACTTAAATTAATTATTTCTTTAGTTATTCCTTTCGATTCAATAAAAAACACGACTCACTTATAAAACACATTACTTGGATTTACTTATTTTCTGCTAAGCATTGGCCCATTGCTTGTATGAACTTTTAGTGTAGCTCTTGAGGTTTGCTATCACTCATATAAAAATTGTTTTCTACTTATAGGACAACATGTATATATATGTGTATATATATATATATTATATATATATATATTATATATATATATTATATATATTGTAAAATAATTATTCTTTTTGGGTATTAGGTCATTTAATTCACAATTTAATAAACTACATAAATTTTAGAGTTTATTTTTTTTATTTGATAACGTTTCGATCACTTCTTTTCTTATACAGAGAATGGGATCCTATTCAGAACTGGAAAAACAAACAACCATCAATGGCACAAAAATACAAGTTCTTATATGCCTTAACAATTTTTTTTTTTTTTACTATATTACTTGTATATTGGTAAATATTACAATCTGTCTCAATAAAGGACATTTATAATTGAGTTCAGAGAGCACATTCACACCATATTTACAAAATCAAAAAATAAATAAGGTAATATGAAAATAAAATACATCGAAATAAGAACAAAATAAAATATCATAATGAAGGAAGAAAATATAAATAATAGTAATTAATTATAGTAATTAAATATTTACGCTTCCAGTACTTTAGTTCAAACTTCGTCAGATAACCGTTAGATATGACGCCACAATACATCTCCTCTCTCCCCCCTCCCTTACTACCATATTCTCACTTCTACATCAACCTTTTTAGAGACAGGTTTTTTTTTTTTCTCTTTCTTATTTCAGCCTTCTCAGTTTATTTCCTCCTTCCTTTCATTTCTTTTTTCTGTTTTAACTCTTTATTATATTATAAGTTGCCTATACATTTTGATAGACTTTACAATTCCCAATTTTCTATTTAACTATTCTATTTGCAATATCTTGATTTAACTATCTATTTTCATTTCTTATATAACTTCATATTCCTTTTTTCCGTTTTACATTTTATTTTAAGATTCCCATTTTAATACTTATGACACCTTTTTTGATTATGGTTACTTCATCATTCCACACTTTGTAACTGTTATTATTATTTATCTCTTAGTTCTTACTATTGTCATTAATCTAACAACTTCATTTTGCTTTAATTTGTTTTACCTACACTACATATGTTTCTCATACCTTGTTATCTGGTTCTTTTCTTAGCCCTGATGAAGGCCTGAACTTAAGGTCGAAACGTCGGCAAGTGTCAAAATAAATATTATCATTTATTTTTGCCTTCTTATTTGACTGATCACCCAAATTATTCTTCTCTTCATAAATAATAGCAATAACAAATAAAAATAATCATCTTAGACGCAGGCATAC